TTGGGCTCCCTGCTCCACGGGAAGCCTGCTTCTCCCTCTCCCACTCCCCTTGCTTGTGTTCCCTCTCTCACTTTGTCTCTCTCTGTCAAATAAATAAAATCTTTAAAAAAAAAAAAAAAAAAGACAGAGTAGCTGAATAGATTTTTTTTTTAAAAAAAGGCCCCAATCCACTGAATTGTACACTTTAAAATGGTAATTTTATGCTATATGAATTATATCTCAATAAAGTTTCTCATTATTTAAAAAAAAAAAAAAAGACCTGTCTATATGCTGCCTACTAGAGACTCAGTTAAATGTAAGGACACACACAGACTGAAAGTGAAGGAATGGAAAAAGATATTCAATGCAAATGGAAATCAAAGAAAGCTAGAATCCTATACTTATATCAAACAGACTTTAAAACAAAGCCTGTAATAAGAGGCAAAGATGGGTGTTTTATAATGATAAAGGGGTCAATCCAACAAGAAGATATAGCATTTATAACATTTAAACATCCAGCACAGGAGCATCTAAATATATAAAGCAATTAACAGACCTACAAGGAGAAATATTCAGCAATACAATAATAGTAGGGGACTTTAATAGCCCACTTACATCAATGGATATATCATCCAGACAGAAAATCAATAAGGAAACATGGTCCTTAAACAACCCATTAGACCAGATGGGCTTAATGATATATATAAAACGTTCCATACAAAAGCAACAGAATACATATTCTTCTCAAGTACACATGGAACATTTTCCAGGAAGATCACATGTTGGGCCACAAAACAAGTCTTAATAAATTTGAGGACTGAAATCGTATCAAGCATCTTTTCAACCACAATCATATGAAACTAGCAACTCCACAAAGAAAACCAGAAAATTCACAATTTGTGGAGATTAAACAACATACTGCTGAACAACCAATGGGTCAAAAGAGAAATAGAAAATACTTTGAGACAAACAAAAGTGGAAATATAACGTACCAAAATTTGCAGGATGCAGCAAAAGCAGTTCTAAGACTGAAGTTCTTAGCTATAAATGCCTACCTCAAGAAACAAAAGTCTCAGGGGCACCTGGGTGGCACAGTCGGTTAAGCATCCAACTCTTGTTTTTGGCTCAGGTCACGATCTCAGGGTCATGGCATCAAGCCCTGCATCAGGCTCTGTGCTCAGCACAGAGTCTGCTTGGGATTCTCGTTCCGCTCTCCCTCCCCCCCTGCTCAGACTCGCTCTCTCTCAAATAAATAAGTAAATCTTTTAAAAAAAAAAAAAGGAAAGAAAGAAATTAAGAAAGGAACAGAAGTCTCAAATGACCTAACTTTACACTCAAGGAACCAGAAAAAGAAAAAAATGAAGCCCAAAGTTAGTAGAAGGAAGGAAGTAACAAAGATTAGAGAAGTAAATAAAAGAGACCAAAAGACAAGAGAAGATCAATGAAACTAAACTCATTCTTAGAAAAGATAAATTGACAAGCCTTTAGTTAGACTCACCAAAGAAAAAAGAGGACTCAAATAATAAATGAAAGAGATGTTACAAAGGATACCACAAAAATACAAAAGATCATAAGAGACTATTATGAACAATTACACACCAACAAATCAGACAACCTAGAAGAAATTTATAGATTCCTAAAAACATAAAACCAATTTGATTACTAGGAGATTCAATCAGTAATCAAAAACCTCCCAACAAACAAAAGTCCAGGACCAGACAGCTTCACTAGTGAATTCTACCACACATTCAAAGAAGAATATCTGTTCTTCTCAAACTTTTCCAAAAAAACAAAAACAAAAACAGAAGAGGAGGGAATTCCTCCAAACTCATGAGGCCAGTGTTACCCTTATACCAAAACCAGACACAAGAAAAGAAAAATTAGGGGCTAGTATCCCTGATGAACATAGATGCAAAAATCCTCAATAAAATATTAGCAAACCAAATTCAACAATACATTAAAAGGATCATACACCATGATCAAGTGGGATTTATTTTTATATAATTTAAATTTTTGAACCATATGATTATATTACCTATACAAAAGATTAGATTTTTTTTAAAGAAACCAAAGTAGAAATAAAAGTTATTTGGGAGAGGAGGGGGATGAATAGGTAGAGTACAGAGGACTTTTAAGGAAGTGAAAATAAGCCTGAATGATACTGTAACGGTAAATACATGTCATTATACATTTGTCCAAACCCATAGAATGCAAAACACCAAGCATGAACCTTAAGGTAAACTATGGACTTTGGGTGCTATGAGTGTCAGTGTAGATTCATCAATTTTAACAAGTGTACCACTCTGGAAGAGGATGCTGATACCGAGAGACTGCGTGTGTTGACACTGAGTTATATGGGAAATCTCCGTATCTTCCTTTCAATTTTATTGTGAACCTAAAAGTGCTCTACAAAAATAAAGTCTTTTTTCAAAAAATAATATGTGGGTAATCCCTTTAAAGATATGTATTAATTTACAAAAACCACATGATTTCTTGTTCCTTCTTCCAAATTAAATGAGGCCAATCAAGTCTTACAAAACCCACAAATGTTATAGAATTCCAGGTGATTAAAAGCTTCATCTAAGCAGTTTTTTTCTAAATATGCTTTAATGAAAAATTGGGATGAATTTTATTTCTTAACAAGAAAAAGAAAAATAAAGATTTTTAAGGGATCTATAATAATTTCTCAACACTTGTCAAATCCCAAATCAGTTGCTTAAATAATTCTGTAAAACTAGGTAGGAGGAAAGCTGTCTAGTTTGGCCTAGGCCTTGTCGGCTCTGGGCATACATTCACACAAAGCAGAACAGGCCATCTACATGCTCATGGGAGGCAGAGTTTAAAAGAGTCTAAAGGTTCAAAATGATGCCAGATAGATGAATCTCAAATGCATGATGCTAAGTCAAAGAACCCAGTCTTGAAAACTTATATACTGTGCAATTCCATTTATATGACAATTTGGAAAAGGCAAAAATATAGGAACAGAGAACAGATCAGTGGTTGCTGGGGGTTAGGGATTAGTGGACAATCTGAGTACAGAGGGCAGTGTGAGGAAATTCTTTGGAGCATTAGAATTGTTCTGCATTCTGTCTGTGCTAATTACAAGAATCTAGACACATGTAAAAACTCATACAACCATACATAAACCATGCATCTTACTGTTTGTAAACTACTAAAAAATTAAAACAAAAGAAAAAAGGACACCAGAACTTTCAAGTATTGGCAATACTCTATCCTAACTTGGGTAGTAGTTTCAGGAGTATTCACTTTATGATGCTTTGTATACACTCTTTCATACTCTCTTCTGTAGGACTCTTGCATAATTTTTAAAAATTATGAAAGAAGGACAACAAGCCCAGATTCCCACCCCATTCTTTTTTTTTAAGATTTTTTTTTTTTTTTTTTTTTTGAGAGAGAGAGCACATGAGGGGGGGAGGGTCAGAGGGAGAAGCAGGCTCCCCGCCGAGCAGGGAGCCCGATGCGGGACTCGATCCAGGGTCTCCAGGATCATGACCTGAGCCGAAGGCAGTCGCCTAACCAACTAGCCACCCAGGCGCCCCCCACCCCATTCTTAAAACACCCACTACTGCCATGTGTACAGTGGATGAAGGAAGCAGTGATCACATACCACAGGTGCTCACCCTAGCCTATTAAGGGAGTTTTTAAAGAAAATGTATTACAGCAGAAAGGCAAGATGCAAGAGTGATTCAGGAGGAAGAGCAACAAGACCTGAGGAGCTGCTTTTAGAAAGTAGGTATACACTCTGGAAAACAGTATGGAGGTTCCTCAAAAAGTTAAAAGTAGAACTACCCTCCAGCAATTGCACTCCTAGGTATTTACCCAAAGGATACAAACAGTGATTTGAAGGGGCACACGCACCCCAATGTTTATAGCAGTAATGTCCACAATAGCCAAAATATGGAAAGAGCCCACTGACAGATGAATGGATAAAGATGTGGTATATATATATATATATACTCAGCCATTAAAAAGAATGAAATCTTGACATCTGCAACGACATGGATGGAACTGGAGGGTATTATACTAAGCAAAATAAGTCAGAGAAAGACAAACACCATATGATTTCACTCATAGGTGGAATTTAAGAAAGAAAACAGATAAACATAGAGGAAGGGAAGGAAAAATAAAATAAGATGAAAACAGAGAGGGAGGCAAATCATGAGACTCTCAACCACAGGAAACAAACAGGGTTGCTGGAAAGGAGGTGAGTGGGGGGATGTGGTTATTGGGTGATGGGCATTAAGGAGGGCATCACTAATAATATACTAATAATAACTGAAACTAATAATATACTGAAACTAATAATATACTGTATGTTAATAACATACAGAAACTAATAATATACACTATGTTAACTAATTTGAATTTAAATAAAAAATTTTAAAAAAAAGGAAAGAAAGTAGGTATGCTGGATAGGAAAAACTGTTTCTAATATCGTATGCCCACATAATTCCTAAGGTTATAAAAGTATTAGAAAATTCTTTGAGTCTACTCGGAGGATGTCAGCACAAAGTGTGCCATTTCCATGGCCTGCAAAGAGAGAAGCCCACCAGGAATGTGGGGGCTGGTACTGTGAGCATCTCCCATACTCCAGGGTGCTACAGAGGAGACACGAAAGGGTCTTAGATCTTGTAGGTAGCAGGTGCTCACTGACTCAAGGCAGACAGGCTCAATCAACCCCAAATAAGGATGGTGCCCAGACACCGAAGACCGACTACCACCCCCAGAACCATGATACAACTGAGCAACAAGGTTTCCCAATGAATGCCAATTATCCTATACAATCTACGGTACTTGACCTCCTAGCCCAGAGATGGAAGGAGAAACTGACCCAGACTGTATCTTACACTCTGAACAGTGAGACCCCTAGCTCTATACTAAGGGTATTCAGGAGTAAAGATGGGAGCTAAGAAGGGAAAAACTAAAAAAGCAACACACCCTGCCCAGGTCACCAAAAATGACCTTGACATCCTTAGGGGAATAAAATTTCTCATCTTTATCTGACAAAATTCAACTGTGCTCACCATTCTTATAAATGTTCTTTTCCGGTCAATGAAATGCCTTGCTGACCTGAGACCCTCATACTTCCAAGGCTGGGAAAACCAGGATGTCTCACTCAGTAATCTAGATCCACTTCCTGAGAAAACAATTTACCAAAACATCTCTCTAAAACTGCATGCAGCTGGTCTTGGTAGGCCCAGAGCTTGTAAGTAAGGTAGCTGGGCTCCTACAGTGAAAGAGAGAGGCCTCCCCCAGCCCAGTGTCCATTCCCACCTTCCTCACGGTCTCCAGCTCCTGCTGCTTGTTTTCATTGGCAGCCTGGAGCTCCTTCATCTGTCGCTCCAGCTCCTCTTGTTCAGCCAGCAGCTTCTTCCGGAGTTCTTTCCGACGCTGGCGGGCTTCTTTATGTGGTGGGGGGCTGCCCAACTTCAACAGATGGATAGTAGAATGAATGGCTATAAAAGGCACAGGACAGAAAAAGGGACAGACTGTTTATTCTTCGTATGCAGATGGCATACTGGGAAGAAAACCAGAGACCCAGTGTAGATTCTGATTCTGCCATTAAGTAGTGGTGTGACCTTGCATAAGTCATAACCTGCAGCATCAGTCTCCTCATCTCTAAATGTGATCTCTGGAGTCCCTTCCAGCTCCAAAACTCCATAACTGCATATCTGTGCTTAAATAGATACTTGATTCGGGAATATCACACACATTTGAAGAACTTACAACACTTCCAATTCCCTTCTCTATATTTCTCAAAAGGCCAAATAAGAATAAGACATAGTAAGAGTTGAGATTCAAACTTCTTAATATCTGATTTGCTACATGCTGGGTTTAGTCTGCCTTTATCTATGCCTTCTGAAACCATATCCTTATACACTTCCTTCCTGAGATGGTAAGAGTAGCTACCATTTACTGAATACTTGCTATATGTATACCTTTACATGCATTATCTAATTTTTATGTATCTTCCTGATTATTTGAATTAATTTTAATTTTTTGACAGCTATTACTTTCACATTGTTCAAATTCAAAAGCATGAAAAGACATACGGGAAAAGTCTCCCTCCTGCTCCTATGCCCAAGTACTGGCTTCCCCTCTCCACTACCAACTAATGCTAACAGTTTCTTGTCTTTTCCAGAGATATTTTAAGCATATACAAATAAGTATGTATATACATCCTCCACCTTCTTTTGACATAATACACTCTTCTGAGCCTTCGTTTTTTTCACTTACTATATCTTGGAGAGCTTTCCATGTCAGTATATAAAGCATTATACAGGGCACCTGGATGGCTCAGTCAGTTAAGCATTTGCCTTCAGCTCAGGTCATGATCCCACGGTCCTGGGATCGAGCCCTAACTGGGCTCCCTGTTCAGTGGGGAGTCTGCTTCTCCCTCCCCCCTGCTCATGCTCTGGCTCATACACTCTCTCTCTCAAATAAATAAATAAAATCTTTTAAAATAAATAAATAAATGAATAAATAAAGCATTATACATAAGTACTGTACAGAACCCCATTGTGTTTCTTCTATCATTTATTCAACCATTTTGCAATTAATGGACATTTAGGTTGTCTACAATCTATCATATTTTTGCAATGATGTGCCATTTTTAAAATGTGCAAGTATATCTTCATTATCTAATCACAAAAACCTTGAGAGGTAGGTACTATCTTTTTTTAAGATTTTACTTATTTGAGGGGTGGCTGGGTGGCTCAGTTGTTAAGCATCTGCCTTCGGTTCAGGTCATGATCCCAGGGTCCTGGGATCAAGCCCCGCATCGGGCTCCCTGCTCAGCGGGAAGCCTGCTTCTCCCTCTCC